ACCAAATTGGCTCGCATAGCAAAACAGAACAGACAAGACGGGCCGTATAATAATACGAATAATAATGAGAAGAAACGTGTGAAGTGTAATGTATTATAATTATTACTAAGCGTTGTTGCTGTTTAATGTGTGTTTAGGTTGTAATTTCTACGGTTTTCTGTTTACAGGGTCTTCGTTTTCGTAACACCCTCTTATTACCGAGTATTTTCGCGTAATTTTCAGTTTGGGAACTTGGCTTGACTAAGTTGCCAAATTTGGGGTGCGTCTTATGGCCGAGTGCGTCTTATAACCGAGAAACTACGGTAATCTGTCAAATTATCTCCAGTCCGATCATTTCCACCGAGTTTTAGGTCAAATTTAACGGTAAATTTAGGGGTCTTCGTTTTCGCAATTTCGAAAACTAAGACCCCCACCAAACCATTCTGTAAAACTTCTACAAAGTCGAATTACGACCGGTCAAAGACTATAATCCGTAGAACAACTTCTATAATACGCGTGCTAGATGCCACTTCATCTAACAATTTGCAGACCTATGTTGTGAGCATGGTGGCTTTACAATGAGGATAAAAGCCATACACTACCCATTTATAATTGTACTCTGAAAATATGCCTTACCCCTATTGGTCTTTCGTTTTGTTGTTTATCCTTTAATCCTAAAATTGGCTTTCCATTGGAGATGGATGTTTTCCTTCGCGGCTCTGCGATCGATCGAGATTGCGTTACTTATGACAGAACTGAATAACGTATGCACACCCGACGTGTCTAATACGCAGACCGCAGACCTTGAAAGCGCAGACCTCGAAAGCGAAGACCTCGAAAGCGCAGATGCAGACCTCGAAAATGTAGTCCTCGAAAGGTCTGTTTTCGACATTTTGAAGAGAACCGTGGTTGTGAAGCAATTTTTCGGTGAGGGAGACTTGATTAGTAACAAGCATTTCGCGCGACCGCAAGTCGGCAAAGATCAATTTGCAAACTAAAACAAATTTTGGTGAAAGTCGTTCTCGGTTACTTCAATAATACTTCGATAATTCACGAACAGACGTCCAACGTTGAGCGCGGAACAAAACCATATATGGCTCCTTAAATAGATAATCCCTGGTTTCAAGTCGCGGTGGACCACATTCCTTGAACTATGATAGTAGTTTTGGTTGTTTTACGGATTCTAGTCTTTTAACTGTCGCAATTCCACTTTGTAGAAATTTTACAGAATGGTTTGGTGGGGTCTTAGTTTTCTTAGTCTTCGTAATTACGAAAACTAAGAGGGGTCTTAGATTTCGAAATTACGAAAACAAAGACCCCTAGATTTACCGTTAAATTTGACCTAAAACTAGGTGGAAAGGATCGGACAGGAACAAATTGGACAGATTAGACCTGTTTTGGTTTCAATTTGACTTTATATTTCGACGGATTCAATTCTAGGGGGTCTCAGTTTTCGTAGTCTCGAAAACTAAGACGGGTCTTAGGTCTTAGGTCTTCGTTTTCGAGGGTCTTCGTTTTCGTAACACCCGTATTTATACAGGCCCTTTCATCACAGGCGGCCCAAGCGTACTGTGTGTGATTTTCGGGTCTAAAGTTCATTGACGGCAATACCTAACATATCAAGGGGTGTTACGAAAACTAAGACCCTAGAAAACGAAGACCTAAGACCCGTCTTAGTTTTCGAGATTACGAAAACTAAGACCCCCTAAAATCGAATCCGTCGAAATATAAAGTCAAAATGTAACCAAAACAGGTCTAATCTGTCAAATTATCTCCTGTCCGATCCTTTCCACCGAGTTTTTTTAGGTCAAATTTAACGGTAAATTTAGGGGTCTTAGTTTCGTAATCTCGAAAACTAAGGCTCCTCTTAGTTTTCGTAATTATGAATTGCACGTGGACATAAAATTAAGAGCCCACAGAAAGCACATATTCGATAATAAATCCGGTTAGTTTTCCCGTGTTACTGTAACATCACGAAGCGAAGAAATGTGACAGAAAAAGCGAAGAAAAAACGTGATGTCTTAACAAATGATTTCACAACATGGGGTGTGATGAGGGTCGAAAAGGAGGTGGGGGGGTGTCGTGCACGGTTCACGGGAATTAAAATCGAAAATTCACGGTTCACGGGAATTAAAACAGACTTTTCACGAATCACGCACAATTCAGCGTTTGCTTTAATTTTTCACCCATCTACTACACAACTGACGTGTCGACCACTTTGAATTATTGCATGGACATTAAATAATTGTTTTTCTCGCTCTGAAAGACTAAATTTACACTAATTCACAAGTGTATGCCTTAGTCTACACAAACAGAACTGGTTACACTTCATTACGTGCAATTCTTTGGTGTTGTGCGTACGTACAAGAACAATATCTTTGTCAGTATTGTCAAAGGTCTTATAAGGTAATGACATAGCTGCTACACAGACCACACAAATAAACTGTTCACATCAGTGGCCGGACAACTCTGACCATTCGACCACTACTTGTCTGTATGCCACGGAGAAAGGTCAATGAAAAACACGATCAATCAAAAACTGTTAAAGTGCCATCCAACTCGAATTTTAATAGTCTAAATCCTCAGGACAATTCTAATAATTGCCGTTGTGCAAGTCCAATTTGCGATTATCTTTTATTTAATAGAAAGAAATATAAAGTTCATTATTACCCAGGTATGAAAGACATGCTGCGTGACATTGATGTAATGTCTGTAATTATTGAAAGATGACGAACCTTTTAAAACCATTCCTCGGTGACTGAACATGGATCTTTCTTCATTCCACTGCGCCTGGGTACTTATTGCATAGGCCTTGTTACCATCTGGTCCTTTCTCTAAGCGGCATAGTTTGACATCGATGCTGGACCCGAGACCTCGTTTTCAAGCTTCCTCCCTGAGGCCTGCATGTTCTACCACGTGCTTTACAAACGCTTGCAAGGAGCAGTGCTTTCCCGATAAAGGAATACGCAAACGCTCTTTGCTACCAACAAACGCATTCATTGCATTTAAAGATGTTGTTGGATCCACATAATAGACAATATCTTCCAAAACTTGAAAAACGCTTCCCTCAATGTCCGCACTTGTACTTTCGCTCGCCATATTTGACCATAAAATCATTACAGGTCACGGCAGAGTTATCCACGCGAGTCATGTGACGTCTAGACATGTCTAGGATTGGTAGTCTTGGTAGTGTGTGACGAGCGTGGCATTTTGTTTTACATACTTGACCTTGAAATATTGAGTTCTGAATTCTGAAAGGCGTGACTACTATGTACATTCGGAAAATTTCACGGAAAATGAGCTAATTATAGACCATGTTCACGAATCTCGAGAAATAAATTAGTTATTTCACGAATCACGGGAGTACTTTCGTTCACGGATCACGGGAAATAATTTCGTTCTATCACGATTCACGGCAGTTAAATATAGGCATTCACGGTTCACGAAAAACCCCCTTTCCGACCCTCTGTAATCCAGCTGTCAAGGAAACTCTCCTGACAAGTCCAAGCTCCAGACGATAAAATTTACCTGGCAGAATCGGTAACATGTACTGACTTCTACGTTTTGCCGACGGATAATATCGAAAAGCAACAGTAGCCACCCCAGTTCCACTTCACTGGTTTCGTAAGTTTTTACGAAAGAAGTTATCGGCAGCGGCCAGGACAAATTGGAAAACAAACCTTGGGGAGTCGCAAGGAATACCTGGTCGCGATTTCCTGTGTTCGGAAACAGATAAAATCGATGTTAGCGCTTTCCCATATTACAAGTACAGCAGTGTTTTTGCTCGATTGATCGAATATGAGCTTTCTGTGGGTTCTTAATTTGATGTCCAC